GGGGACTTGCATACAGGAAATGACAGCTAAAAAATACACATAATTTAGTTGTACCTCTTTGTAGCTGTCTTTGCCATCTTCTATGTACTTGGTAATCTCTCTTTCAAGGAGGGTCAAGTTTTTAACTTTTTCCTTGATTGCATTGATCTAAAAAAAGGTATAAAGCTTTAGACAACTCTGATGATAAGTAATGACATCATCTTGATTTAAAGTAAATGTCCACAACCTTTCATTTAGTACATTGTGGTAAAACAGAAAACATAAGTCGGACCTTTTCCTGTCCTTCCTCCTGTTTCTGCCTCCTGCGCTCAGCAAGGTCCTGTTTCTCCTGCTGGAACTTCTCCAGAGTGGCAGCTAGAGGAGACACCTGCTCCTTTGCATCCTAATAAACAAACAAATTGTGACAAAACAACAGAAACAATATGATTACACTACCGTTTAAATGTCTTGGGTCTGTAAGTTTTATTTTGTTTTGGAAAGAATTTTTTATGCTCTTTTTTTTTAATGCTCCATTTATTTGGTCAAGAAAATACAGCTGTTGTGAAATTTTATTACAATTGTGCAAATTGTTCATATGGTAAAATATTTAAAACTGGAATTTATTCCTGTGATGGAAAAAAAATTAAATTTCAGCATCATTACTCACATGATCCTTCATTCTAATATGCTGATCTCAAGAAACAATAAATAGAAAGTTCAAAATAAAATGTAAAAGTCTTTACTCTCTCTTTTGGATCGGTTTAATGCATTCTTGCTGAATAAAGTATAATTTTCTAAAAAATAAATAAATAAATCTTGCTGACCAAAAACGTGTGAATAGTAGTGTATATGACAATTTTCATTAACTTTGTGAATTGAGGTTTTACTTTGTACAAAATAAGCAGTGTATAGTTTTAGTGCATTTATAGGTTACTGAACCAACTCGCTTCTAAGAAACTACTGATCAACACTCAAGCTGTTCAATAAAGACTCGGTTATGTATGTAACCCTGGTTCCCAGAGTAGAAAATCAGATTTTATGTCAGTACCCAACATACACTCTCCAGGGTGGTACTGATGTGAATGGTGTCTTACCAGTAAAAAGGCGAAGCGTTGATGCATGTGTGAACAGCACATTTTTGCATGATTCTGGTTATTCTAGGGTAAATTACCAGGATTATTGTGTCAATGGGGCTTGTGCCTCAAAAGGACATGTGTGCACTAGGGGTGTAACGATATTCAAACCGAACTGAAAAACCACTGTACTCTCATGGCATACAGCAATACTCCCTTGGCTTACCCCGCCCCCTGCTGAGACACTTAAAGGGTTAGTTCCCCCCAAAATGAAAATTCTGTCATTAATTACTCACCCTCATGTCGTTCCAAACTAAATTATGTTATTTTTTGTTTAATTTGCGCTCAACAAGTATTCTCGTAGCTTCGCAAAACTGAAGTTGAGCCACTGATGTCACATGGACTGTTTTACCGATGTCCTTACTACGTTTCTGGACCTGGTAACATTACAGTTGGGTTGCTGTCTATGCAGGGTCTGAGAGCTCTCACATTTCATCAAAAATATCTTAATTTGTGTTCCGAAGATGAACGAAGGTCTTACGGGTTTGGAACGACATGAGGGTGAGTAATTAATGACAGAATTTTCATTTTGGGGTGAACTAACCCTTTAAAACGCGCACGGCCATGATGGTTTTGAATTGCTTGAATCACTTTGAAAAGGAAGGTGCCATTAAAGGTAACGTGCAGAACAAATCTGTCATATAGGCTACAAAAAATTATAATTAAGACACTACTGTAAAATAATACTGTACTGTCTGAGAGGCAGACTTCAATGCGCTTTCAGTCAAAGTCGCCTCTCAAACAGCTTGCGACTCTTGAGTGTCAGATTGAGTTATTACATATTTGATTAAAATCAATTTTATTTATCCATGGCACAGGCATGTTTTATATGTAGCCTAAGTAAAGTTGTCCAATGACTTGTTTGCATTATTTAGGCATTATTTAATTATTTTTTTTAAGGTAATATATTTTTTGGTAACACTTTACAAAACAACATTTTTTAAAGTCTCATTTGTTAATGCATTAATTAACATGAACTAACAGAGAGCAATTATTATTATTAAGTTAAAAGTGAATCTAGTGTTCTTTAGCATTGCTGGTGCCATGCCATGAACCCTACTCCCACAGCAAACAGAACAGAACCGAACTGAACCGTGGCTCCAAAACCGTGATATGAACCGAACCGTGGCATTGGTATATCGTTACACCACTAGTGCGCACCATCACTCCTCAGATTTCTCTACGAAGGAAGCCATCAGCAGAACTGAGGAGTATGGCAAGCTACGCATCACCTTGTCCTTGATACTCAGGGAACCAAGGTTACATACATAATAGGTTACTCAATGCTGCATCAGTAGCTGACACTGTGGCAACAGTATACCGCAATGCAATACAACCAGGTAACTGCTGGTTTATCATCCTGTGAAACACAGACTTCTGAGACTGACAAACATGAAAGACTGACTACCCGCTCAAAATCGTCACAACTGGAGGGTGTTCATGTATACTACTGATGCAGTGTTGAGTGAACCTTTGAAATGAAACTTTTCTCTTTATGAATAAAAAGGCACATTAAAGTGGAGTGGGCGCTCCTCACTCGAATGTCTCTGTGGAGTGTTTGGATCTCAGTGGAGAACTCCACACACTGCTCCTCCAACTGTTGACGTTTCTGCATATTGCTGGAGATCTGGAGCTTTTCTCCACGAATCTCATTTACACTGCTCCTCAAGGCCTGGATCTGATCCTGTTGGTCCTGGATCAGTTTCCTCTTCAGCTCGATCTTACTGCAGGCTACACAGAAGGATCATCACATGGAAACACAGTAATAAACAGGGTCATATTGGCTTTAGAACGGATTTTACCAGTATCTGGGTATGTGACATGAAACACTTTGGGAAGTCCTGTGGTGTGACATGCTATATCCAAAATTATTTTCAATAGCATTTTACAAATACATATTTATATTAATAATGCATGCAGTTTTTATGACGCTTATGAACTGAGGGCCTATCATTTGATCACAACAGCAAGGAACTATTTAAAAAATAAAGTAGTGAAGGCAAAGGTGATTAAAAATATTTTTTAAAAGTCGCCATTTACAGTACCCAAGATGTACAATTTCCCTTATATATTAATATAAACAGAATATAAACAGCAAATAACAATATGACAAATGTTTAAAACAATGTACAACACCGTTCAAATATTTGGGTTCAATAAGTTTTTTTAAGAAATTTATATTTTTGTTCAGAAAAACGTGCATTAAATTGATCAAAAGTGACAGTAAAGACATTTATAAGTTTACAAAAGTTTTTTTTTTTAAAGGCATAGTATCAAATTATTTTTTAAGAAATTTATATTTTTGTTCAGAAAAACATGCATTAAATTGATCAAAAGTGACAGTAAAGACATTTATAAGTTTACAAAAGTTTTTTTTTTTTAAAGGCATAGTATCAAATTTTCGCTGCTAGAGGGCGCATATTCAAAACAAACAAAGAAACAAAGGCGTAGTTTGATGATGCTGTGATTGAGTGTGGAATCATGAGAGTTGTCGTCTTCATCCCCACAGCCGATGCAATCGGGACTCGGGCAGAAATCATGTTCATCAATAAGCTAATGTATTAAAGATTTATTAACGTTACTGTAGTATGAAGCAGGGTGGGGTTGAAAGTCGTGGAAGTGAAAGCCCCTTCCACTCATTCCAGTCATGTGTATGTGGGGTAAAGCAGCACCGTTTTATTCATGCTAGATACATTTGAGTGTGTTGACAGTTCTATTATAATGCTACTCTGTGCGTTCGCTTGGCGGCTGCTATGAGACAATTGTTGAACACTGCAGTAAGCTATTAGGCATCGATATTAGAATATCATATTAATAAATGCTGGATGGCTTGCATTGCTAAATGGCATGCAATTGATTTTAAAATATATCGTATTATGCATTATTACTGTTAGTACAAATGAAACTGCATCTGATTATGCTATGTGAGCCACTTGTCAAAATAGTGTTTCCTCTGAGGCATGGTAAAAACATGGTGCTCGCAGTAAATCAAGAAAACGAGATTCAAACAATAAGACTATACAGTGTTGAGCAATATAACAGAGATTAGTTTTCTGTCTATACATGTATCCAAACAGTTGCTCACCTGTCTAATAAAACACATAACATATTAGAGCGTCTTTGGTGTTTCCATGGTTTCTACAAAATAAAACCGGAAAACGAGGGTAACGCAGGTATGACATCATTGGCAGGCGACGCAATGACACAGTCCGTTACACTAGTTAAAATTGCTTATTTCTCTGGATTTAAAAATTCTTGGAAACATGTGGGATAATCTAAGTACACAAGTCAACAAAATCTATATTGTGGCTTTAAATGGCTGCTGAAAATTCAGCTCCGCTATCACAGGAATAAATTACACTTTAAATTAAAATAGAAAACATTTATTTTAATTGTAATAATATTTCAAAATATTACTGGTTTTGCTGTATTTTTGATCAAATAAATGCAGCCTTGGTGAGCATAAGAGCATAAAAATAAAAATAAAATCTTACAGACCCTAAACTTTTGAACGATAGTGTACATTCACATGAGATTCACAGAAGTTTTTATTCTACATAAACTGCTGAACTTACTGGTGTCCAGGTGGTGTTGGGTCTCTTGTTTCTCCTGGCTGACCTGCTGCATGGTACGGCTGAGGTCAACTCCCTGCAGCTTGGCTGCATGTTGAGCGATCTTCCTCTCTACATCCTTCAGGTCAAGCTACACATAACAGGAAACATTTGGAATACGCACAGGTGGATAAAAATACTGCTTGTTAAGTTGTGATGTATTGAATACTGTTTCCAGGTATAAGTCTCTACTCTATTTCAAGTGAGATTACCATTTCAACAGCCGTTTATGTGAACTATCTATTTAGCACACAATATTTTAAAGATTCCTAAAAAAAAATTCTTCATTAAGCTACTGTATGATTTAAGAAGCCTTGAGATTAAGAAAAATTATAAACTTGCAGTGCTGTGTATATTTAACAAGAATCACTATACTGCATTATTCTGTGTGTTCTAGGTGATAAATAAATCTTTAAAGTATATGTTGTGATTGTACTGATGTGCTGTATTTGACTGGATTGTATTTTCGCTGTTTGGACTGACTGGAAATGAGCTCAGACCTGATAGCGATCCATGAGTGATATGTCCTGCAGACAGGCCTTGGCTGTTTCTTCCTCAGACATCAGTGTGCAGAGCAGTGTCTCCTGCTCCTCAGTGTCGCCTTTCAGCTTCTCAATGTCTCGATTCACACGCTGGAGTTTATTTCTGAGCTCTGGCAGCTCTTTCTCCTGGAGCTCTGCTATAGACTGCCTGTCAGTACAGGGGATGGACATATTAGAAAATGATTCATCAATATCTTAAGCTGTCTTAATATGAATCTGATGAATGGATGAAAAGGTAAAAAGGTAGATGGATGGATGAAAGGATAAATAGGTGAATGGATGGAGAACAGATGGATGGATGATAATGGATAACACGACAAATAGGTGAATGGATGGATGGATGAGGGGTAAACAGATAAATAGTTGAAGGGAAGGGTAGATGGATAAAAAGGTGAACAGAAGAATGGATGGATAAAGGGTTAAATAGGTAAATGGATGGATAAACAAAGGGGTAAACAGGTAGATGGTGAATGTAGGGGTAAAAAGATGGATGGATGGACGAATGCATTAAGGGGTAATTAGGTGAATGGATGAATGGACGGATGAAAGGGTAAATAATTGAATGGATGGATGGGTGGACGGACGGATAAATGGATGGATGGATGGATGGATGGATGACGTGGTAAATTATTGAATAGATGATGGATGGATGAAGAAGTAAATAGGTGGAAGGATTGAATGTAGGATGAATGGATGAGTGGATGGATGGATGAGGGGTAAGTAGGTGAACGGATGGATGGATGAAGGGGGTAAATGGGTGAAGGGATGGATGGACAGATGGAAAGTTGAAAGAGTAAATAGGTGGACGGACAGATGGCTGGATGAAGGGCTTAATAGGTGGATGGACAAAAAGTAGTTGGATGGATGAATGGATGGATGGATGAAGTGATAAAGAGGTGAGAGATGGATGGATAAATATGTGAAGCAAAAAATGGATGGATGGATGAAGGGGTAAATAGCTGGACAGACAGATGGATGGACAAAAAGGAGTAGGATGTATGGACGGATGAAGTGATAAATAGGTGAAGGATAGATGGATACAAAGGTAAAGTAAAAGATGGAAGGATGGATGAATGGAGGACAGATGAAGAGATGAAAGAATGGCCAGAAAGACATTAATTATTGCCTGATTGGCTTCAGTGCGATCATTTCATCACGCCTATGCTCCTTCCTCTTCAGGTCATGCTCAGTGTTCTTTAGTTTGTCCGGGACGAGCCGCAGCTTGGACTGCATGTCATTAATGACGTCCTGGAGCTCTGCCTCTGATGGGAACACACGCTGACATACAGGACAGCAGGGCTCGCCCTCCTCCGTCAGCTGACTGATGAACTGACTGTACACGGCTGTCGCCCCCGCCAGCATGGCTGCTCAGAAAAACATCCAGGCCAGAGAAGAGAATAAGACACTGAGAATCACATTAAGAACATAGACATCTGAAAAAACTGTAGATGTTCTGAACTAGCACACATACAGGGTAATGCAACTGCTACAAACTACTTAATCTCAGCTGTGTGGGTAACATTAACACCTACCACATTAGAGTCCCCAGCTTGCTACCTCATTTCTACAGTTATTGCTATACAATGAGTAATATTAATCCTGTTTGGCAATAAATACTAATTTAAAATAAACCCGGCCCACACGGAATCTTCATCTGCAAAATCCACAAACCTAAGCAAATTTCAAAGGCCATCATTCACTGGCCCTTGTGGGATTGTGTATGCTTTGGTATGAAACATATATAAATTCTGCGTCATTCTGAAGATTTTCCTCCAAAATTAGCACATACAATGTACATGTATATTTGGTGTGGGTCTAAAATGTTTTGTAAGAGCTGAGCACACTTCTGTACCTCTCTGTTTGGAACACTTCTCCAACTCATCCTTCAGTTTGTTCAAGTCTGATTCAAAGTCCTGACTGCCACACACATTAAAAAGTCTCTCTTCATAACTGGCCAGCTGCTCTTCTTTGTGTTTGATTTCTGCAGTAAAGTGAGTCTTCTTCTGTTCTCCAGATGCAAGCTCCTTACTATGAAACAAAAACAAACATTAAGAAATTAGAGAAAAATCTAATTTATTGTTTTTATTTTGGAAATAAAGCATTTGGAAAATTGTACATTATTTTACATATAAATATGTGTTTTACTGATTTTTTTTTTTTAACAGTTCATGTACACTACTACAAGTGCAACTCTTTAATATGAATTAGTGATGTTTGTCTAGACAGCCCTATTCTGCCAGTCTGTGTAAGCTAAACGGCCCCATTTGAATACTACATTGCGTGTTCCACTGCCTTGAAGATGACCTATTCCTCAGGAACCCGGAATCAAAACTGCGTATGTCTTGAAGATATTTATTAAGTATGTGGGTGGTTCTGCAAATGTCAGTATTTTCTGTTATATCAAGGTCAGTGCATGTGCATGTGTTGCTTATCACGTAGACATTTAGATTCTGTTACCGGCACAAAATATATTTCATCCTCACAATAAAGATCAGTGTTTATGGCATTCTCTAGCTTATTCTAATAAACACCTACTATTATACAAATGTTTGTAGAAAAACAAATTGCTGAAAAGTGTGACAGACTTCATTTTGCTGAGCCGTTCTCTGGTGGAGTTGATCTCTTTGGTTTTGGAGTAGATCCAGTCTTGTAGCTCTTTCTTGCTTGGGAAGTGTCCCAGCAGAGACACCAGCTCTTCATTATGTCTCGACTTGATCTTCCTCACTTGCTCCTCTTTTTCCATCTGGAATCCGGAGCAGAGATAAACTATTTATTTTCTTGTTGCATAAAATTGTCACTTTCCCAACCCCTGTCTGGCATAAGCACTGATAATAAAACTGCTATATATAAGCATATGCCTAGCATTTTTCAATAAACATTTCAAATAGTGGCATGCTAGACTGTTGTCACAGTGTGTTCTGACTGAATTCTGAACATCTGACAATAGTAGTAGATAATTTGGGTATTCCTTATACAGTATATAGAATATCTGTATACCGAGTAAAGTATACATATTGATAAATTAGTAGTGTTATTGAGGTATTCCAATCTGAACACACACACACACACACACACACACACACACACATATATATATATATATATATATATAAATTCTTTGTATTTATACTACATTCAGTTTTTTTAGTGTTTCAATGTAAAAATTATAAACAAAATAGGACTGAAAAACACTTGTTTTATATTATAAACACTAGTATAAACACATTTTCTGAAGGAATTATTTCATAGCTTGCACAATCAACAGAAATGCAAAAAATTATGATTTAAAAGAAATCAATGAAATTATATAATCAATTTATAAATCATATAAAAAATATCATATCAAAAATCATTTTGATGGCTCAAGCAAATCATATAAAGCAGGGGTGGCCAACGTCGGTCCTGGAGAGCCACAGTCCTGCAAAGGTTGGAGCAAAACTCTGCAGGACTGCAGCTCTCCAGGACCGACGTTGGCCACCACTGATATAAAGACATGTACTGACATCTAGGTGTTACAGTTACATACTGCAAGCAATGTGCTGACGTGCTAATACACATCTATTACTATTAATGATTGTGTGGCATATATTATGGTATCTGGTACGGTGGACCAGTAGCCCAGATTTTGAGCACATTTACAGAAAGGCAGCGGCTATTTGCACTAAGTGAAAGTAGCATATTTTCTTAGCAATAGATGCTATTTACACTAATTGATAACAGAAGTATTTTCTTAGCGATGTGCTGTTTACACTAAAT